ATGCAAGGTGAGGCGGTGACAGGATGTCTTAAAGCTCAAAATAGCTAGTCCACGACCAAACCACATATTTGTCCTTTGAAAAGCCCATCCAACCTGGATATCATTGGACTGCATAGTGATTGCGTATAAATAACCCTTGGTGGAAGTTGTTAGTCCGCGGAGATCCTATTCATACGTAGAGAACAACTTGTCGCAGACTTGAAACTCCAAGCATTATGCACTGCCATCAACTTTGCAGTGCAGCTAGCGGACATGACAAATTTTATTTTATTGCATACCACCAGCCAAGTAGATAAGTGAGTGCGTACAAAGTAAAAGTATACAAGCAACCAATGACTCCACTCGAAACTACTACTTGTTAGAAGAGGGCAAGCTTCTGTCTCCAAGTGGTCCTCGGATGGTTCATGTCGGAATTTTATTTTGGTTGGTTTGGCGTGGTTAAAACTTTTTCGAGGCTCCAACAGCGTGACGAATTCACACATCATTGTCCCCACTTTTTTGCACATCTCATTCTCATTTATTCATGTCATTTTATCTCAAACATAAACCAACCAACCAAGTACCAACCCACACTCGACTCGACAAATCCACTCGAGTAGGTTTCTTTCAACTCTCTTGAGCTGGTTGCTCCTGGCATGAAATAAATATGTACAAAAAAGTCGGAAAGTTGGATAAAGTTTTCAAAGGCTTTTTGAGTTGAATGCAAATCATCATTTGGTTTATTTATTTACCAGCCAAATAGTCCCACCACCACCACCACCACGAACAACACCAGACAGCATTTTTTGTACTTTTCTTGACTTTTTCTCCCTTTTTCCATCTTTACATAATAATGAGAAATATTAATCTCGCCGTGTTGGGCAACATTACACTGACAACAGGTAATTATGCACGTATTGCAACATACATCGTGTTAATGCTAATGACGCTAATAATGTTAATGGAATGTAATCTCTCTTTAATTTGATGATACTGTCATTGTCATTCAATCAAATCATCGCATTAGCTTTTTGTGACGTAAAAAATGCAATTATTTTTTTGCCAATTGTAAATGATATCATCCTTCCTTCTTGACTCATTAGAGTCTGGCCCTGGCGAAAAATTATGCTTATTAAATAATACGCACAATTTATTTCAAAACTGCAATATTGCAGTTTTTAATGTCATGTGACGTTGAGTAGCTGGAATGACGTACATATTTTTATGTTTAGACATGCTAAGATAAATACATGTGCTATTTATATATGAGTGGACAAACATTTGTGTGACTTGTGAACCGAGACATTTGCTTAAAAGGTTATCTATATTTATTGTATATTTACTCCTGCCATGTCGTTCGTGTTCATATCACTGATGTCGAATAAGCCAAATAGTAGATGGGTAGATAAATACGTAGTGGTTGTGAAATTAATTCCAATTTGTTTGCATTTCTACACTAAATGCAACGTGTGTGAAGTGGTTTGCATTTCGTTTAATAAGAATTAATTGATTGGAAATAAATGGGAATGGACCCAATTGATGTTGAAGTCAACGAGTGGTGGCAGTGCTGGTGGCAGTCTGCAGCATATAGAAAAACGAGAGGAGGAGGAGGAGGAGAGGACATTACATGAAATTGCACTTTGGCCGTCTCTTCCCAAATTTAATCTCTGTCCTCACTTTGTTAGCATGAAATGTTTGTTTGCAATGTAAAATGTTAATGTAAAATGTCAGACAAGTTTACAATTATAACGAGGGGACACACAGAGTGTCAACAGGGAATGTTCTATAAAATGATAGGCAATTCCCACTGACTGAGCGAACGGTTGTTGCGTATCTTTGGTGGACATGTCAAATGTTGTAAATGAGAGGACGACATGATCCACTTAAACGCAATGGATTGAGCATTATTTCATTCCCATGCAGCTCACTCTCGTCGCCGGCATTCGTGTCAAATGTCAAAGGGGAAATGTCAAACGCTGTCCTAATTCATATATTTATTGATCCAATAATTGGGCGTTGATTTAATACCCAACATAAAACGTCGGAATAGATGACTATTTTACATTTATCGGTTTTCCCATTTGATTTTTATATCGATATATATGTATGATTTTTAAGAGAACCGCAATCTGGCAATTTACCATTTGCACTGGTTGCAAAAATTGGCGCATGTAAATTTGCAGAAATAATAGAGTTCACGAGTTAATCAGCAAAAACAATACAACATGTAGCTAATAAAATTATATTCATAACGGATTTACTGCTGGCTCAACAGCACAATTCGTTGTTTTGGCACATATGTATTTATATAGCAGGAGGTATTTGTTCAAGTATCTAACTTACAAGGGACACTCACGACCTGTCGTTTGAGTCCAGGGTACCCACTATGTTTTTCAGAATCTACTAGGACCCCAAATGAAGGATCCATTCATATTTCCGTGTAAAACTCATATTTGGCGCCATGGCGTGGCGCCAAACTTAAAAATTTGCATTTTCGACCAATTTCAAACCCCCATAACTTTTGCAGTTTATGTCGGATTTTTAAAATTTTATGCTTAAAATGATCAGAAAAGTCGAAATTTTAGAGAAAAAAATAAAAATAAAAAAATTTTAATTTTTGAGATATTTTTAGCATTTTTTCGACGAACCCGAAATTTCGAAATTTTGCGAAAAGTCAAAAGCCATAATTTTGGAAAAAAATTCATGGGATAAGAAAGTTGAACTCCTTGTCATGATCTTTGCCAAAAATTTTGAAAATCCGTCCAGGATTTCAAAAGTTATGGCGGTTTCAAAAATAAAAACATTCAAATTTGGCGAATTTGGCGCCACGGCACGACGCCAAATATGAGTTTTACACGGAAATATGAATGAATCCTTCATCTGGGGTCCTAGTAGATTCTAAAAAAACATAGTGGGTACCCTGGACTCAAACGACAGGTCGTGAGTGTCCCTTGTTAGTATAAATGTAATAGTTTGCCAACGGCATTTTGCAAAATATTTGCACACGGTAATTGAACTTTGGTCGGTATGCAGTACTTTCCCCTCGTACATGTTATTATTCTATTTATCTACTAATTGACACTCCCTTGTGGCTAATTTATTCCAGAATTTAAGATCAGGTCTAACTGTACAGTCGAGAATTGATTGGCTTAGTTCATTCCTTGTCATTAACTTAGCTCGTGTCGTGTCAGGTTGCATTATCTTTTCGTGCGATTACTTACTTGTATTGAGAGCTGGCTGGCTTGTTGTCTTCAATTACTTGATGAAATATATGGAGCTGACTTGAAAAACTTGCCAAATTCTGTCAATTTAAAACAATGCCATGATAAACCAGTTTTTAATGCTGAATTATATTTAAATTTATCTTATTTAGGGGGTAAAGGTCCACGCCGGGTTCATAAATTAGAGAAGAATTATCTTAATGGATATCTTAACGCAAGTAAAATTACGACGGGCATGGGTGCAATTTAGAACGCAAAGTGTGCACGGTTATGAAAATTTTCAGAACGTGGTGAATTAGTTTCCTGCACAATATGCCAGGTTCCCCATCTTCCCACCTCCCTCACTGTTCTTTTCATTGTAGCAGAATTAGCACTTTGGAATACCTACACATGTACACACGTAGGTGGTCAATTGTGTGTGGTTCCGGTTAGATTATGCATGTACGTGGGAGTGAAATAATGCATGCATACAGAAGCCTTTCAGCAAGAGCATTTAACGGAGCGATTATTGTCAAGGTGCAAATTAATTGAGAATGAGTCGTAGGCAGTAAAGCCAAGCGGCGGCGAATGTCTGCTTGCACACCGCAGAAATCCTTGCTTGTCATCATAATGTTTAATACACGTCCACCAATCCACGAATCGATCCAAGCCATTCTTTGGTAAATATGCCTTGCGTTTATGGTAAAAAATGAGAAAGTATGTAGTCGAACTAATCAATATTTTCATTGAGGTCAAACATGGGAATTTGAGCGGAGCATATACATATGTATGTACACACACAAGGAGCGCCGGGTTGGTTGATTGATTCGCTTACATATTCTGTTAAGACTAATACTAACATGACACAACATGGCCTGACTTTCTTGAAATTGTTCTCGGTGAAGTCCAAGTTTTCTGTTTGACCTGCTGCAAACTCGTGTAGGTTGGTGCAGCAGCAGGCGGAGCGAGCCGGAGGGAAAGCAAGAGGTTGAGAGCATAACATGACAATTGGACATAAACAATTCACTAGCATTTCCTTCTTTCTTTTGCTTTCTCTCTCGAGGTGGTTGATGCAACGTGGTCGTTCGCCGTGCTCCTTGGCTGCTTTGTCCAAGTCAAGTCGTGGCTAACTTATTTGGAACAATCACGCAATCCGTCTACCCTTTCCAATCGATAAGATAAGAGTTATTATTACTCCAACTCCGCTCTCAATACGTAAGATTGATTCAGAGAATGATTGAGTAAAACGAGTAAACTAATGGTTTTACTTATCCCTCTCCGTCTGTCTGCACTCGGTATACATATATATTTATTTTTTATGTACGTATGTATGTGGTAGCAATCTGGAAATTTATTCAAATAAATTGCGGACGTATATATTCCTTTGGAAAAGTCTTTAATTAGGCGAAGGAAATAATTAAATGAATCAATCCATTAGAGGTGCGTCATCACCATAATTGTGCAGAAACTACTTGAAATTTATAGGCATGAATATGTAGATAAGTAAAAAGATTTGGACGTTTGTACATACTACTAGTTCCGTAAATACGAGTATTTCCTTTTAGTGAAATGTCATTTATATTTAGTAAACTATTATGTTTGTTGGACAACACGGTTTATTGTGTTAAATTATTTGTCTCAATCTTAAGGACGTAGGTTATTTCTTGTTTGAACATTATTACACATTAAGGCAAGGTTTATTCACCCCAAAATTTAAAATTTACCTGTATACTTGATGTTGTGGTATTTATGTCTACATTAGTTTGTTTATGATAAATTTGCCAAAGCCTAAAATTAATTGACACTTGTTACTTTTTGCAGTTTAAAACTGGAATGCGAGGTAAGAAACTCTATTTAATTATATAATATTTTATTTAATTAAAAGTATATAAATCGTTCAGATTCCTAATATGTAGGAATATGTATGTATTTTTGAGTTGGAATGTGTAGATTGCATTCTTTGTCAGTCTGCATTTAAAGATGCAGATTGAGCACAATTTACATAGGTATTTCAGCATAAGCATGTAAATCAATCTGCGGAAATGATGGCAGGTATGTTGCGCTGCATCAGTGCCACCGTGCAAACTCATCTTATGCAGATTGAGTTGTCCAGTTGTCCATTTTGACCTCATCAATTCCATTAGCATTCCAAGAGTGATAATAAATAACTGAATTATCGATAGTCAATTTTTTTGTTTAAGATATTTATATATATATATTTATATGTATATATATATATATATATATTTATATATATATATTTATATTTATATATATTAGAAGACATTTTGGGACACGAAATCCTTTCTTAAACACCGCACTAAGAAGTTATTTGTTGAAACCGCACATCCAGTTGTTTTACAAATAATAAACACAATGTAATAAAAATATAAAACTACATAAGTCGAAAAAAAGTGAAGACGACGATGGGCTGCAGTAGATTTTCCCTGCAAATGAAATTTATTTAGTTAAAATACTTTGTTAACCTAGCTTAAATTTGTTACATGTTGTAAAACCTGACAAATTACCCAAAACCACCGAAAACAGGACAAATCGAAGAAAAGCGAAGACGACGATGCGCTGCAGTGGATTTCCCTGCAGCAGAAATTTATTCATGTTAAATACTTTGCTAATCTAGCTTTAATTTGTTATACTTATGTTGTAAAACCTGACACTTACCCGAAACCGTTCAAAAAAGAACAAAAATCGAAGAAAAGCGAAGACGACGATGCGCTGCAGTAGATTTTCCCTGCAAATGAAATTTATTCATTTAAAATACTTTGCTAACCTAGCTTTAATTTCTTCAATTACATGAGAACAGGAATTACTTACCTCGGAAATCCACAACACAAGGGAAAGCTGGATGGATACAGCGATACTGATGGATATAAGTAGAGCTAATTGACGACACAAAAGACACCAATTGTTGCTATTGATCATTATAATAACGGGTTTACCAATTAATGAACATTTAATTAAATAAAAAAATTATAATAATCGTTTGTGATGAGAGTAAAAAATATCCTGTTGATTTGCTGAGAGGAGAAGTAAAGAAGCAAGCAGTGTTGGCGGCAAATGGAAAAACGTTGCCAACAGTCACCACTGCTTCTCGCTCCGTTCTTCCTGCTAAGTGCACAGGTTGATCATTCTCTGATGTCAAATATTAATTTCCGTAAGTTTTACTCAATTTATAATTAACTAATTATCAAAAACTCGGTAATATTAATTATTAATAATAGTTTGCATCATCATTCAGTGTCAACTTTACTCATCCACAACTTGTGCTTGCTGTTGTCAGTATTAAGGGTAGGAATTTTTATGTGGCATTTATTTAAAGGATACATGACATTAGCACTTTTTTGTGATGATCTGATGACACTGACTCATGCCCAGAATTTTTTAAATGCCCGAATTATGTATTTAGCCTAATTTTAATGCGACATGACATCAATAATTGTAAGTGTAACCTAACTTTCTGCCTATATTTGACGCAAGTTAGGAGTTTTGAGTTCCCCAAAGACGCGTGAAGTCAGTCAGAGGTTATCATCCTCCAGAAGTCGTACCTCGGAAGAGCTTCACATTGGCAAAGATCGCCTTCTCAAAACAATTGGCAAATGCAATTTCGCAAAAGTCAAGTTGGCAAAGCACCTTCCCATCGGCAAAGAGGTAGTTTGTTTATAAATATTACAATAACTTTATCCGAAGTTTTCTTTTGGACCACACCTTTAAAGCTACAATTAGACAATAAATAAACTATTTTGCAGATGGGAAGGTTTAATCATCGAGTAATTGTGAGTGGACTCCTATTTGGGAGTGAAAAATCTGATCAATGTAGGGCTCTACTTCTGGGTATAACTCGATCATTGTTCCGGAAACCTTTCGGCACGGAAGACTTGAACTGCTGAACCCCAGACACGTTTTCCTTGTCAAAATTTTTAAACATAACGTGCGGGACTTTACTCAGTATATTTAACTACCGTTGGGGTCACCTGATTGGGTGCGGTATTATGCATCAAAATTTCAAAATTGTCGTAGAAAGCCGAAATGTGGTTCAGAGATTCTAATAATGCCTACCTGAAGAATGGGAATTGAAATTTAAAGAAATTTTGTTTCTTCGTTTCTTTTACAGTGAATGCAAATATTCGGAAGAAGAGGCAGCTGCGAAGAAAGCAGAGTTTTTGAAGAAAAGAGAACGAAGCTTCTGCCAACAAGACGTCAGTGGCTTCCCTTTCCTAGCTGGACCCCAGGAATAATAATTCCACCTCCACCTCCACCAACTTTTAATGATATTAATATTTTGGTCATCCAGGGCGAGGGAGAAGCCGATCAAGAGTACTAGTAGAATAATTTGTATCCGATTGTCCTGTCTAAATTGTTTTCCGTTAAAGTCTATCATAAATTGTGTCACATGTGTTACTCGCATAGACAACGACAGTAAATTCAGTGAAGAAATAAAATCATAACGTGTAATAAGTTCAATTTTATTTTACGTAGACATTGTATTCATTCTTGTATTCATTCTCAAATAAATAAATTTACTACTAAAAGCTTTGTATTTTTTCCAGTTATTTATAAATGTAAGAAAAAATTCGACCACATTTCGCATTTTCGATTTTTTCCCGTCATTTATACATTAACCTCCTAGTGAGAAAATAATAATAACTTATATAATTATATTATATAAGTAATAATAATATTACAATTATAATAATATATATATTATATTGTAATATATATATATATATAATAATATTATATAATATATTATATTATATAATATTATATAATAATAATAATATTATTATATTATATTATTAAGAATCATATAATTATAATAATATTATATTGTAACAATTAATGTTATAATAACCCCTATATTTCCATGGTGAGGATTTTACTAACTCTAATATTTATTTTCACATCTTCGTCTTCCATCATTGCTCGATGTTTGTTTCTAAACTCATGCTTGGTCAAAAGATTTTCCATGTCAGTGACAAAATTGCAAGGAATGCAACCATACCACTTGATTCCAATTTTGTGACGCTCTGTGTTCATATGTAAATCAAAATCCCATTTCTTGTTGCATGAAAACCAACATTTTTCACACTGGAATCGAGCGTTCCGGTCAAAGAGTAATTTCCTTGCTTCACAACTTTTGATGTGAGCATCAAGTTGACCCCGTTGGGGCGTTGATGAAGTACAGCCTTCAACTACAATATAGAATAACAAAAGGTCCTTTGCAGACTTCAACGTGGTCACCGAGGGTCTTGGAAGTTGAAACGCGATAACCACAATTTATTTCACCGCACAAAGCAGTTATTTATTTAGCCGCACAGAGCAGCTATTTATTGAAACCGCACAAAGCAGTTATTTAACAAATAATAAATACAATGTAATAAAATATATAAAACTATATAAGTCGAAAGAAAGCGAAGACGACGATGAGTTGCAGTGGATTTTCCCTGCAGGTGAATATATTCATTTAAAATGCTTTGCTAACCTAGCTTTAATTTGTTAAATGTTATAAAACTGATAACTTACCCACAACCAACGAAAAAAAGTAAAATCGAAGAAAAACGAAGACGTCGACGAGCTGCAGTACAAATCTCCTGCACATGAAATTTATTCATTTAAAATACTTTGCTAACCAAGCTTTATATTTACTAATCTCAAAAAAATCTAGAAAAAAGTACTTACCTCCAAGAAAAAAGGAAAAAAACTGCGAAAAATCGACGAAAAACGAAGACCGGCCGAAAACACTAGATACGAACACACTATGAATCATCGAAATTAATTATTATACTTTGCTAACCTAGCTTTTTCTTTAAATGTTATTATAAGAATAAAAACTAATTACCAACAGCAGAAAGAACTCTGACGATAACGACAATGGCGATGAGAGGAGGCATTTTTTTCCTTTTCTCTCGGAAGTAAGTACTTTTTGCTACAATTTTTATTGACATCAGTCAATATAAAGCTAGGTTAGCAAATCATCAGTTAGTCCCTATTGAATTTTTAATTTGAATTAATATAAAACAAATAATTTGGTCTTTCAGAACAAAATATTTTGAATTCGCAGTTTGTTTTGTTGTCGCCTTGTTGTTTAGTGTTGTTCGTGAATGTAAGTTTTAACCACATATTCAAACTCCTTTTTTAATTGGAAAACTCACCAAAATTATAATTTCGAATTTCTAGATGGGGAAATATAATCATCAAGTGATTGTGAGTGGGCACCCGTTTGGGAGTGCATTTATGTTGAGCGTTCCCGGCGGTGGTGGTGGAAAGCGAGGTGGAGGCCATGGTGGTTGAAGAAACGTTAAGGGTAAGTGATAAATTAAAACAAAATAACCACAATCAAAGAGTTTACCATGTTTAAATTTTATTATAGACAAGAAAAAGAAGAATCAAAGGTGTTGGCGCTGCAATGGGGTACCACGGATAGTGAGCGAATTTCGCATTTATTATTACAGAGGCTGGCCAAGCCAAAAGTAAATATCCCGGTCGCATCGATTTCACCAAATTTTATATAAAAATTGCGAATTTAACTTTTGGTTGAAGGGTCAATGTAGCATGACTGTTTTTAAATTATTTGCAACCACTCCCCCTTCAAAAATTGGGGTAAATAATTGGGAAAAGTGAGAAAGTCAATGTACACTCGATAAAAAAAGAATTAGACATCAACTTGCATTTGCAATTTGGATTCCCCCATGAATACGAACATTTTGACGCATCAAAAGTTTCAAAATTCGAAAATTCGCGCTTTTTTTACCTACGCATAAATCATTAAAAAACTCATGGTTCCAGTCATTTTGCGGCTGACAACCTGATGCCAGATTTTTCTACCATAGAAGAGCTACATTTTCAGCTTTTGTTGTCCGAAGCAAAATGACTGGAACCATGAGATTTTTGGGGTCAAAGTTGCTGTGGGGGCCATCTTATATCGCAAGAGCCGTAACAAACTCTGGCCACTAATTACCGAACTTAAAATTTGCGATATTTTAACTATCTAATCGCCAAAAATTAAAAACATAAGCTTATCAGAATTAATAATCATAATATCCAGTAGAAAATTAATGCCCCGGGGTTTATCACTGTACTTATCAATTTTTCAGATAAGCAAATTCCGCTTATTCAAATAGCCCCAAAACTCAAACTCTTTTGGATTTATAATGACGATATCCACTCGAAAATTAACGCTACGGGGCTAATCTTTATGCTTATCAATTTTTCAGATAAGCAAATTTCGTTTATCCTTATCGTCCGAAATTAAAACATATGTGAATTAATAATGACAAAAATTAAACGATTTTTGATAAACAAAAATTTAATTAATCCTGCATGGTTTGACATGCAATGTTTATGTAGTTTGAAAAAGAAAGTGAGACGGATACGGCACTGTCACGCGATGGTGGTGGATACCCACCTGAATCCGAGTTTTTCTCACTTTCTCGCTCAATATGTAAACGAGGTTTGTTGTACTTTTGGCTTGGTTTCCCTCTACATGCTATATCAAATTTCGCTGAGGTCTAATTCCGTGCTGCATTTTTCAGTGAATGTAAATACTCTGAACAAGAGGCTGCTGCCAAGAAGGAAACTTATTTACAGAAAAAAGAAGAGAACATTGCTACTTCTTCTGCAGCTTTCACCATTTCCAGGATGGAGGCCTGACCTCGTCGTGCCGCCTGTTCCCACAAATGACATTAATATGAACTAGTTTTTTTAAATTTAATCTTAATGTATTTACTTTCTCCAGTTTCCTGAGTTCTTTTTTTGTAATAAATCAGTCATTTTAACAATTACGATAAAATCGGTTTGGAATTCTTTGTCCACATTTTAAATTTTGTATTTCTCCTAGTCATTTATTAATTTAAGAAAAAATCGGCGTGGAGCTTCGCCCACATTTCGATTTTTTCTTAGTGAGGGAAATACCTAACAACGAAAAAAATGACTAAGTATGCATTTATTCCATTACTAACTCTAATTTGTTTGTATTTTCACAGAAATTAGCCAGTGAGAAGATAGAGATACAACGACATTACGTCATGGTAAGACAATTTTAAACTAATTTTTTCGACAAAAATAATTTTATGTACAAAAAACTATAGCGTGGTATAAAAATCCCTGCGACAATACAATTAAAAATTGATAACAAAGTCGCATTTTATTGCACGAATTCAGTAAAATCTAGAATATCAGTTAAAGAGCATACGTATAAAAAATGCATTATGGAAATGCATATTTGAATCGTACCTAAAAACACCAATCAATTATTCTACCCTTCCACGAATCCAATTGAATTCTTTGTCTCTTTCAATTCGACTCAATTATACGTGGCAGGAGGAGAAGATAACCACGACCAGACAAACTCAGTCGTATCTGCATATTTATTTCACCCGTCAACTAACTCTGCTGGAGTAGGTGGGGGGATGGAACTTGTTCATAAATATGCAACAAACCAGAGTTTTGTTTGAATTTCAAATTTTATTTTAACATTACATCACATCCCATTATGTACGGCGTCGTTTGAGTGTATCACCGAGGATGTGCGGCTCAATTCGAGAGGGGAATCCCCGTCATTCAGCTCTTAATCCCTTTTCTTTACAGGGTCCGTTTGCTACAAATAATACTTTGTGAACATGTACTATAAAAAATATTCATACGTACACCGAGATTTCTAGAAATTTCTAAGCACGAAACCGATTTTTAGTCACAAATTTGAAGGATCAAAATGAATGTGAGCAGTTTTGGTATTGACATTTTTGCGTCGAGAGTGAGAGTGAAAGAGATTGTGATGGATGCGAACTTGAGAGTGCACGGGGTTCCTAAATTTTATGTAGTAAGTGAGCTAAATGGGATTTGAATAAAATGGGATTAGCCCTGTCTCCGTTCGTTCCAATCTGGATCTGGCTGTCACCCGAAAACTTGAATAAATTTTGAATGCACTTTTCTAAGCTACTTTTCTATCTTACTTCCACTCCCATCTACTTTATTACTTATCGAAGCCGGGATCATGATGAGGAGACATGACACTGTCCTCATAGTAAACTTGGACAAAATTGAATGAATCTGGGATCAATTCCCTCTCACGACCACCACCAGCGTGCTCCACCTTGACTAAGCTCCTTTTCATTCTCGAATTTAATCTAAAATAAATCCCAGCTCTATTTTTCCTCCGAAAGACTGCGAGGATCTGATATGCAATAATACGCTCTTGTACCACCGCGGTATCCATGTCAAGATGGCGGAAGAACTGATAATAAAATGCATCATTTTGAGAGGGTGAAAGCAAAGCAGTAACAAGATTATTTTTAATTTCCAATTAGACATGGTTGTTGGCTTCTCAAGAAGTTATACTTGAGAACCATGCCCATTATAAATATATATGCACATAGGTACGTGAAGTATACAGCATTACCGCCATTACGAACAAAGCTACACACATAATTAAGCAAGTGAGATCCGCCTTTCTCTGGTTCTTTAATTCTTTTAACCCAAACTTTTTTGGCAAGTTTTTACTCGCTCGTGCTACCACAGAGAGAGAGAGAGAAAGAAGTCATTAGTGGCGGTCATGTAATCAACTCAAGTACTAAACTACCGCCAGAAAAATTCCTTGCCCAAACTTTTTAGTCTTCTCGAGAACATCTTGACAGGGAATGGAGTGGAAGGGAAGGGGAAAGGAGGACGTCTTTGTATTTCTTGAAGCTGCTGTAATACAATAAAAAAATCTCAAGAATGCAGATTTCCTTGAATAATTCCGGGATGAAGTCGAGTGAAATGAGTTGTAAATTACGTGCGAAAAAAGACAAACTTTTTTGTTCAGAGGCGGAGAAAGTTTTAATAATTCAAAGAAGTGAAGGGAATTTGAGCTTAAGAAAGTTTAGCGCTCATCTCCTCATCTAATCTCCATTATTATTATGGCTGCCATCTTCATTGCAATAATGCAAAGGCTAACGGAGATGATATGAGAAAGGATGATGAAAGGCTGCTTAAAAAATCCAACATCTCTTTATCTCTCTAAACAATGGAATTTTTCAGCTTTGTAAATTTTAAGGAGAACCAGTGCAGAAATTAAAATGAAAAAGTGACTGTCGACCACAGAATGTAAATACTTGAAGGATGTAGTAGTGGAGGGAGATGGGGCAGGAGCAGCTTAGAAAGTATATTGGCCCAAGATTAGATTTTACATAAGAATGAACAATAAATGACGAGTGGTTCGTATAGCGCATAATGAGAGTGAGCGGGGGTGGGGATGGCATTATGTGCGCGGCGTAAGATATGGATATTGAGGCAACATTAGTACATCCAGAGCTTAGGATTTTGACAAAGAAGAGTAAGCAATTGAAGCGGAAGATGAAACGAGAGGAGATAAGCTGGCGTGGAGAAAGCGCAGTGAAAGGATCAATTTATTGCACGAGTTTTTAAATAAGATGAAGGATGCGGCCATACATAGAAAGTGAGGGAGAAAGAGAGAGAGAAAAAGGGGATGATGCTGCTGAACTAACTGCACATATTTTTATACAAATTCCACACTCGCTCTCATTTTCCCTGCCATTTCGCTTCCTCCTTCACATTCAAATAAAATTCCACCTCCCAAATTTCAATATTCTGGGCTCAACTAACATTGCCAGTTTTTAGGATTTTGTCATTTTTATATTCTTAAAAGGCATGTACATGATCAGGAAAGTTGCATCAGTGAAGCAAAAAAAGTATAAATTCGTATTAAAAGATTCCTCTTGCGACCCTCCTCAGTGTATTCAACTTCACCCGGATGATGGCATGGGGTGGCTACCGGAGCGTAAAGTGAGTGTTGAACTGTAGCATATTTTTTGACGTGGAGAAGAAAGTTCAAATTCGAATGGAAATGTTGTCTCCTCAAGCGGAACAGGGCTTCTTCTTTTGCTAAAGAGCAGGGGAAAGTCCCCGTCAGACCGTCACCTCCCACTCAATTCGCCCATCACAACAACAAAAGAGTCAGGAAAACTGGATGCATACGAGGCTGCAAGAAAAGTACTAGTGCATAAAGAGCAGCAGCAGAGGTTTGTGTTTTCTGGTTGGGTCTCGTATACTACGTACTTGAGAGATATACATGTGTGCATAGCGGGTCTAAAAATATTCAATCCAAATCATGTGCACCATGTTTGCCCTCCGACATAGTTAAGAGAGATGGGGCGGACAGGGAGAGAAAGTCGTAAACATTTCCCCCTTTTTCCATTCAAGTGCTTTCCTCGACCACACTATTCACTCTCCTCTTCGTCATACTCGTGACTTTTCTCTTTAAAGTGGTTATAAACCGTGATATTATTGCACAACTAACACTTTTGCCTTTTTATTGCTCTCGTGTCGTGTGATGTGGAGGGGGAAAATCGATTTGGGATGATTCTGGCAGCAGAAAAAGCAGTGGGGAAAGCAATTTAAGAGGGGACGAGTGACATATGCATAGCGGAACAAGGGACGGAAGAGGAAATGGGCGTGCAATTCTCCAATAATTTGTTTCTTTTAAAGAGATTATTATTGTTTTTTTAACTTTACTTTGAATTATGTCTCTACAATTAGAAGTATGTACAGTTAAATTTTATCAGTGTGTATTGCTAATACATTTGTTTACTCTTGAGAGTAAATAGCTGTTGATAAATATGATACGTTTACATCCTTGACGGGATAGGAATTCCTGAGAGTTGTCCAGCTCATCCAAGTTACAATGAATTAAGCTGGTTTCATGAGAACAATGCGATGGAATGTTGACACGGTGGAACAACCTGTTAAAGTTTTAGTCGACTGGTTGAGTTTATTGTTTATTTTTAAGGAAGCCATTGAATTTTGACAGATTTTTAGACAGGATAAAACCGAGATTGAAATAGAGTTAAGAAGGCGACAAAAAGTGTTGGATGAGATACAGATGCCTCATTCACTTGAGGAAAGGATGATGCACTTCTTCTTCTTCTTCATCATCTTCTCTGAATAATCCGATGTGATGGGGATTGGGGATTAGATAAATTGAGGTGAGAATGACGGTGCTGAATTCCTTCCGAAATAAGTCACGCTTTGCTTTGCTCGCCTCCGTTTAAAATGGAGATGATTATTGTGAGTAAAGCAAGCCACAGCAGCCTCTAATTTGGCTATTCACTCTCCTTCTGTGAATTGAATGGTCAAAGCGAAACTGGCATTTTTATTAAGTGCAGACCGAGGAGGAGGAGGGGACAAGACGATGAGATGAACCTTTTTCAGAATGCACCAAAATAAATTGATTCAAGCATTTTTTTCAAATACGTCTCCTCTAAAAAAATAAGAGGAATAGGTGTCTACGAGCAGTTTTTAGTTGGAAATTTAGAGACAAGTTTTATGTATAATCAGACAATTTGTGAATTCTGAATAAACCCATCAGAAATGTTGGTTGTATTTACGAGAAGGATTAGTATCTCTTATTTCTCAGCAGAAAGCTTCGATCTCTCGGAGGGATTAAATGAAATGAAGAAGAATGGAGAGTGAGCAGTGGGGGTTCCGCTATTAGCACACCCCAGGCATGATGGTGAAGTGACATGACATGGGCGATAAAGCATTCTTCGTGTATCCATGCATGTGTATGCTCCACAGTGTGACTGAGTGTGAGGGAGGATTATAAATAAGGTAAAAAAATAAGCCCTAAAAAGTATCAGTTTGAGTAAGCAAACGCTTCTCGGCTCGTTTTTATTTTAATTTTCCATTTATCGCTCGGATGAACATCTCACCATTCATTTCACACACATGGGGAGGAAATGCCAGGAGACGAGCTATGAGAAAAAAAAGCATTTTGTATGAAGACGGAAAGAACAAAAGTATTCCTCTTCTTATTGCATTAATTAAATCAAATTAAAGCAATTCGGGTTGACTTCACAAATTTAATCTTTCAACTCAACACGGCTCATGTTTCATTAATCTTTGTGCTGGCAAGCAGTTGGTGGTCTCTGATTTCATTAAGCCTGCACCACCACCATCCTTCGAGTGAGATACGTCTCGAAGGATAATAAAAATAATAAAAATATAATCAAAGTAATTAATTACGCATTGAAGAGCAATGAGCAGTATGACAATTGCTGCTTGACTTTGTACATACATAAATGCGTAGCAAGGAGAAGGGGCAAAAAATTGTTGGTTGGTGGTGGTTTTTAGTTGGACGTGTTGTGTGTTTGTGTGGAACTCGGTTTAATCTTAATTTTGATCTTGTCCCTGGCAAAAGTACAACAAAGAGATGAGTGAGTTGAGCAGGCAGAATGAATTGAATTCTTGGGAGTGAGTGAACTGAGGAGCAATTTCTCACACTTTACTTTTTTTTACACTTTTATCTCCAGCCGAGTCGATCCATTAGTGAGCACTCGAGCGAACTAGCAGCTCGTCTTCTGCGACTACAATAAACACCAGAATGGATTATACACAAGAAAGAGAAAGGAAAATAAAAGTTGGTGTGAACAGACGGGAAGTTGACTCATCATCATCATCATCGGTGTCTGTGGGGAGGTAATGAAAAGTTGGGAAAAAATTATTATGATCTACCAGCAAGAGACACAGAGCCTGCTTGCCATATTGGAGCAGGGCTCGGAAAACCCATGGCAAAAATTGTGACATTTCACGAGTTCAAATCTCTCCTATAATATGTTGCAGATTAGTTTGTACGGCATGAACAGTGTTCACTTGCAGATAAATACTGACTGCATGCACTCCATGATGTCACTTCCTGCACTGTACTAATTCTACAGTTGCTGTATGCACGTTGTGCCCATACTTGCACGTCAACGTCCCCCTTTATTATGAGCGTTTGACTTTACGCTAATTTGGTAATTATCGCAACAGCCATTGGTTCAAATCAGAAATGTGAGAGAATAATTATGCTGTGTGGCACGAAGTGAAGAGTAAAGTAATTTCTTCTTTCAGAGTCAATCTGAATGTAAATGTATCCCTGCTGCTGTCTGTTGTAAACGGTTAAATCAGAAATTGGCCAAATCTTCTTAGTCTCACTTGAATTCAATTCTTCTATTCACGCTCATTCTTGATGGTGGATTTTCTCAGATGATTTATACAAACTCTTTTTATCCAAAGTCACGACACGGACGCTTGCTCGCGTACTGCATTTGGTTATTAATAGTGCGACTGCATACACTAGTCAAGCCAATGTGGGATTATTTTAAGTGTGTATATTTATTGTACACGGGTTTATCTCTCATTTAATTCAATCCGTCGATCCATTCAGTCAGCACACAACAACATTGTGGTCCTCCCAACTCTCTTGCGCTACATTTAACAGCTTAAAAAGGATTAGCTTTTTTATTGGACAGAGAATGCATAGCAAATGTGAATTTATGTAGATAAGCACTCAGGCTTAAAAAATTCCTATTGTCAATTCTTTCGAGCTACATTATTCTTATTGCTTGGTGTATAGCGTGTGGGCTTTGGCTCATTATATTGTTGCCAATTAGACTTGTTGGCATTTACTTGCTTGCAGTATGGCATTTCAGACGCATTCAGTTTAACTCTTCTTCTCTTCGAAAGGAGAGCTCTGTTTACCTGCAAAAAAAACTTGAAAACGTATTGGTTTCAGAGATTTTGCAAAGCCAAGACTCGCTCAGCATGACATCACCAATCGACTCGGCGCTTTTTCTTTATTGAAAAATGTATAAAGTCGATGTTGACATTAATTCCGTCTTATTTAAATAAGCAGATTTTATTTCATTGCTTCATGCAGTGACACAATGTCAACTGTCATGCACATTACAATTGGCGAGATTACGAGAAACCCCATGTTTGGTTAGAATATTTATTAAAAGGTGTTAAAATGCTGATTCTTATGTAAATTAGAACTGTGTGATTTGAGGAGAGTTCTTTTTTACTTTTTGTATTGCAAATAGCAGAGACAATATATTTGCGTACGTACTGGTTGTTCTGCCTAAATTAAGAGAAGCAGGAATATTTGAGAGAAGAAGCCCAGAAAGAAAGAAAGGAACGGAATTGCGGATTTGTTGTTCGCGACTAAAGTAAATTGAGCTGGTGAATTGAAGTGATGGGTTGACTAACCAAAAAACAAACCAAGCAAGAGAACCAAACCAATTGACTCCCAGGTGGTCTCTTATAAATAAGAAAGGACGGAAAGCTCCTCCATCCAAACTCATTTTATTTATTGGCTGCTAGTATGGTTGCGTTTGAGCGAGTTAATAAATTGGATGTTGGTCAGTCACGAAACGAATGGTCAAACCAAAACCGACAAGTGGACATGCATGCCCACCGGACAACGTACAAACATACACAATCGTACAAAGGTAAGGCATTAAATAAATTAGGTAATGGTAATGATCGTCGTTATAATGCAAACCCAAAAAGGACTTAAAAAAGCAGCAAGACTGGTGGGGAATTGCGGTTGTGGAGAATTATCATTATTATTATTTTATCTAGAAATTGCAATTTTCGTCCAATTGTTAAAAAATGTGTTGTGTCATGTAAAATAAGGTTGTCGTCCCCTGAGGCCAGGTAGAAAATGATTACCATACATATTACTTACAAACGGGATGGACATTAAAACTAATTGTGTGTCCACTCCTAATTAATTTCCAACCGATGATGACTGTGGGCAGACGCCGTATTACGACGAGCCTGTGGCTGAGGAGTCAATGAGTAGGAGAGATTAATTGATTAAAACCTCTGTGCTGGCTGGCTGCGTGGACGGATGAGAGTGCTAATTAGAAAAAGGATGAGCTCCATTCCTTCTTATCTTGCATACATGGGCCCAAGACGCTCATGACGATAACTACACAGGTACATGTGGTAGGTGCGCCTGATTAAAAACTGAAAACAAGTTAAGAATGAGACCCTGTTTAATAAATTAAAATGAGAACCATCACCAAATAAATAATCTGATGGTTTTATTATCCAAAAAAGGACTAACAATCACTCCTCAGCTCTCAACCTGATTTGATTTTAAATAATGTCGGTATGTATTTATACGCTCTATAAAGATCCAAAATTTTCCAAAGTGTGCATTCGAATGCCCAAATCCAGATCATGCACACAAATGATGCGATTACGTATGTGCATGTCCACTCCTGATGAAGTAGGAGTTGATTTGGATCACGATGCCAGAGTCGCTCCCAAATCTTATAATGACAGGAAGTGACTGATAATTATGAACTATCAACCGTTGTCTTCTCCATTTCACATGTTATTAAATACATCGCACTTCTGCTTCAGTCCAACTACTCCTCCTACCTTTGAATAATTTATATTGATAATTGCTTAACAGACCTAAATTACAATTATTATTATTACTGCGGGATGAATTCCTCACTCTCGAAAAACTGATATCCATACACAGTGATATCTGGCATAAAGTAACCACAAACGTACAAGCTATAAAGTCATGAGTCCAACATACATCACACACAATTATTAAGTTGCTTCACCACCGCACTACCGCAAACGCCACAAGAAGGAAGGAGTGGATATACGAGAATAAAATGACTTTACACCGTGAATTCAACCAGTTCCACAGCTCTTCGTGCTTATCGCAAGTCAAAACAAGTCAACATTACATCATTTTCCGAGCTATAACTGCTAATATGCAGCAACGAACCAAGTAACGAGAACATGGAATGTAACAACGTTAAGCTTTTTCGGTTGTGAAAGACATTGTAATTGGTCACGAAATCTATAAAGTGTCGACCATGTAATCTTCTCGAGGAGGTGGTGTAACTTTGTTTGAGGGTCAGACGGTGAAGTACGCGGATGGATTGTGTTGTGGTTTTATGAAATGAACCGTCGACATTCCTGAAATTGTGTGTAATTGTGTGCCTTCCACCTTGGGAAGAAATGGGTCCATATTATATTTGTGGGTGTAAATATTTACGTATGCATGTGCTCACTCCCATAATATTTTAGAGATGTTATCTCAACTCGTTACCTTCGTCTTGATTATATTATATCACACCAACCAGCTTTGGCTCGCACACCAAAAGGTAAATTGGTTCGGTTGTTGCCAATCAGACCCATAAAATAATAGGGGTGGTTCGTGTGGTGGTGGTCAGTCTCCCTCTAATTTAGAAACATAAATGGCATGACTAAACAGCATAATAGAAAATGCCGATTAATCACTCCAGTGGCACCATTACGCCGGATAAAATAGTATAACAACCGGCTGCTCCTACCTGGTGTAACATTATTCAATCATGTGATAAAATATATTCCCCTGCACCTTCTGCCTCCCCTTTGCTCCGTTCTCTTGGGCAATACAACAGTAAAAATAAGCATGCAAAACTACAGTAGGTACCATAACATGTATGTATATCCAGTAGTAGATTATATTAAGCGCAAAACTTTATATGCACATGATAGTACATAGCGTATATTTACGTACTTTGTTGTTTTATATTTTATTGTACTCGGCATCTAAACACGCAAGAGAACCATCATTTTGCAGGATGTAGTGAAAACCTTAAAAGTTTACGAGTTTGGCATTAAACATGTGTGTGAGTGCAGGCTGTTGTGAAGTGGAGTGAAGGGTCATTAAGAACATGGGCGTGTTAATAACTCGTCGTTAATAGGAAGGGTCCGACAATGTTGCTGATTTTACGAACTGTGTGATTAATCCGACCAAACTATAGCCATGTTGCTGGAGAAAATATTTCCTGTTGTTTCGGCATTGTGCTCGTGTGACGTATATATTTTTTAATTGGCTCATTCATAAATAACTTTATGCTGATAATAATTATATGTGTAGCTTGTATATGTAGCGCAACTGCTAGTTCTTTGTTGGCTGACTAATAATTGTAATTTGGTCATTATTTAATTGTGACCAGTCGTCTGCTGAGCGAGCACTGGTCGCTCTTCCCTTACGGTTAAGCATTAAATAAATTCCAGTCACTATGATGGAAATGGAGGTGAGGAATATTACTGTAACTGTGAAATTAAAAATGCAGTTGTTAATTTAGAATCCTATATGACTCACTCCTATATTCAAGAAAACTTACGACCAGAAGTTGCCAAAGACAATTCAAGTATGGTCCTTGGATCATAGTAATAAGCCCCACATTCAGCGTCTTTCACTTGAGAGGCGTCAGGCGTGGTGCTTCTTACGGCAGCCTCCGAAGTAGTTTCAGTTTCAGGGTAAGCAGCCGTAGTAGTTGTAGTGCTGGCTTCGGTTTTCGTGTGGATATCACCAATTGTTGTGCTGTCAACGGTAGTCGGAGGTGCTGTCGTCGTAGTACTTGTGCTTGGGGGACTTGTGATAATAGGAGCACTCGTCGTGGAACCATCGTCATGCTCGTCACCTTCAATTAGTATTCGATCATGTTCCGCGTTGTAGCCCAAAACACCAAGTGCTTGCAAATAGCCATCAAGACACTGATAATCTTTCCCTTGAATCATTAGAGCAATTAAGACATTAATTAACTATCATTAGTAGTTGAGATAAAGTGAAGCGTTTCACTATTACCTATGTCGATTTTATCAATATTTCCAACTTTACCAAAGGTACCAGGCAAAAAGTAAAATGCGCTTCGACCATTATACAAGAAACTGGGAATGACAGCATGATAATTAACTGAATCTTCAACGTCCTTTATCACAAAGCCACCAGTTACAGGGTCCTTCTGAAGAACTTTCAGAGACTTTACTAAATACGTTCCAGCTTGTGTATTGAATTTGTATTGAACTTCGACACCACCTGTGCATACGATAATCAGAAGTGTGCCATATAAAATTCTGTTGCAAGTATTAAATACATGCGTCAGCTAAACAGTTAGGATTTACGTGAAACGTGTAGAAACTGTCCCCAATCAGGTCTTGGAGGTTCTGAGATCCCTGTTGCACTTGACTCGAACATTGTCTTCAAAATAGTCCCATTTACAGTGACTAAAACAGCACTGTTCTGGTACGGGAGGAATTTTCTTGTATTTGAAATTTGAAGGATAGCTATTAATTTTTGGTCAGATTAATCGTTTTAATTAGCATTTCGTTAAATACCAGTTCATCATAATTTACAAAGATTTCAAAGGCTTAATTATTCGGATTACAAGATTCAGTGTAGTCTCGAGCTGAGAACCCTCCAGAATGCCACAGGCCAATGAGCTCTGAGGGAGCCGAAGTCACATTTTTGAAAGCGCAATGGACCATTGCATCTGCAATCAACCTGCCCAGTGTACACTCCTTGTTTTTGCATTGTTGCGAATCATCCAAGTTCTTTTTTAACAGGATGACATTCTTGCAAAATATTCAACGTTAAAAATTATCACCATGTATCATTTCATATAATTTTTTTGTAGTAGGCTAACCTTGGCACCGACACTTTTGGTAGTTGATGACATGCTCTCAATTTTACTATCACCATCAGTATCTGAAAAAAATATGATGAATGCTAATGATGATTACTACTTTTGTCCCATACTCAACATCGACAACTACTACCACTTGTCCACAGATACTTACCATATTGTACAGCATCGTTATTCTGAACAACTCTAGAATTCGTGGAAATTACCCCAACTGATCCAGTTGTAGTTTCCACTTCAAGCTCTAATTTTCCAATGGATTTTCCGTATTTTGCTGCAGTGGCAATGAATTTTTCTCCATATTGCAAAGGGTATTCTCCTATGAATTTACATTAGTATTTTATTTCATGGAATAGGTGACAAACCCATGCAAATTTCCTGCTTTGAAACCTTCAACATTGTCGGCGGTATCGCCAAGAAGAATTAATTTTAATTTCGGGACACCGTCAAGTATTCTCTTTGCAGTGTCAACAGATCCAGATCCAATAGCTATTACGACATCAACGTCTGATAACTCCGTCTCGACAACTTGAGACACGGCAGACACTACTTCAATAAATTCCAATTGCCCTGGTTCTGATAAATGCTACACAATTTAAAAAAATGTCATGTTCTCAATAATACAAGTTAAAATATTTCTAATAGTAAATAATTAATCGTATGTATGTATTACAACAACAAGTGGATTGACATAGCCAACGAATCCTATTTTGTACCCATCAGAAGATGAAATTGTGACCTTTTGATGATTATCCACCAGGGTACAAAATTCCCTTTCTTCGTCCGTCGTGTACTGTGCCCTGCAATTTATGTTGGACACTATGGGACGTATTTCTGCAGCTTTGAGGAATGTGAGCAAATTGGAGAGTCCTCCTTCAAATTCTTTGAGCCCTAAGGACTATGGGGGAAAATTCCATAGATAAATAGCTCGCATCAATACGTGATTAATTTTTTTTAAAGAATTCTTCCGTCCTACCGTAACATTCGGCCTGAAGTAGTTGGTATCATAAAAATAGCCTGTCCACCTTGACTGCAAAGTTTCGCCCATTTCTTCATAAGGATCGTCCCATCCATAAGTCCCTGACAAGAGGGAGAGCCACCCATGTTCTCCCGAAATAATATTTCCTGGCGTTACTAAAAATTTGGAACTTTCATGTATTGCTCCAAAATCGTTTTCTTTTATGGACTTGACATGGCCCATCAGTCTTGCGACGCCAGCAGAACAGCCGACATCTGTAATTTTGTCACATGGCTGAATTTCCCCATTGTTCTCCTTTGCAACAGAAAAAGGACAACAATAAGGCTTTAGCAAACCTTAAAAAATAAATAACGTTACTTTGAAGCTCTGATACTGTCCTAAAATGTCGTTGTAATGAGTAAACCCTATCCGAATTTGTTCCGCTTTAATTGCTTGCACCAATGTTGCGAACAATAAAATTCCCAGAGATTTAGATCTAGCCCCCATTTTTGTATGCTGCTTTCAGCTCGGAGAAGACTAAACAATTAATTAAATGCTTTCTCGTAGAGTTCTTGCCTTTTATAAATTTCTCATGCCTCGTAAAACCGTCCATGCTCATTTTCCCATTAATTGGTTATCAATCATGACTTATGTATGAAGGTGGCAATCGACGAGAACGCAACCCGACCCCACACACAAACAAGTTCAAGTACATGCAGGCTCAACATCATTGCATATTTTCCATCTTACTGGAATTCAGGAATATGGACTTATATGGATACATGACAGCCAGCACGTACGCTCAAATTATGTGCAAATTTGCGCAAACAATGTGCAATTGTAATTATCAATGTAATAATACCTAGTAATATAATTATAGATAAGCCAAATGAAAATTTGTGCTCCTCTCAATGATTTACAATGAGCATAGTTCATACTCAGATCTATGAACACGTGTAAACACACAAGAAGTATATGGACATCTTTTTTTCTTTCCCCGATAACCTTTCTTGTGTGCATGCATTCTCATATGGACTGAAATGACTAAGAAACGCGTATCAGAATGTTGGAAGTGAAATCTTATCTTTAAATAGACAAACATAAACATTACTTGAGCTAACCAGTAATTCTGTCAAATTCCACTAATTCCAGTCCAAGAATGAATGACTACGTGTATAGGAATCGAGTACGCGTTAACATGGTCTGATTTCTTTACTGGTGCTCGAACTCTAATGTGCACTGCTGAGGTTACAACTGACACGGGGAACCAAGTGATATTTTATCCTAACGATTTTTCAGGTTCTGCAGGGAAATTGCATTCCACTCCCCCATACACATTCTTCACGAGTAACAACAAATTTTAGTGTAATTGAGAAGTGTTTCCTTCTTCCAGCCTCAGTTTCGTTTGGTGTGGAGTTGAAATCACAAAAAAATCGGGTTGGTATTTGTTGAGTAAAGTGAGGTTGGTAAAGAGTAAAGATAAATATAAACATTTTGTCAATTCCGAGATCAAGTTGCTTGATTTCATGTCAAGTCACATACTCATGACATGCACTGCCATACAAAAAATAGTCATACAAAAAATTCATATACAATTTTCTTAATTACAACAGCAAGATAATTTTTAATTGCATATTTATTTATGTCGGTATTAAATTTTTGTCGAATGTCAATTTATCTACACATAATTAACACATCATTATTTACTCGCACCTCCACTCATGCTGCTGGCTGTTGATTTTAGAAATGAATATATTATTATCATTCTGTACAGAGAAAAACAAGAGAAAAATGGTCCCGTTCATTTTGCTGCCAACTATTTACTTGCATTTGCATATTCACATTTCGTGTGTGCCAAAAGGGAACAACTTGGTTTTGCTCTTCAAGAAAATGTTTAGTAGAAATGATCCTGATATATCTTTGCATTTTACTCTTTTTTTTCTGTCTGTCTTCTTTATGTTGATGGCGATGTTATTTTTTAGCACAAATTACCCCCCAACACCGCAACCGAATGTTTTTTCAACTAAAATAAAGTTACAACACGTCTTCTGCCTCGTAAAAATGAGATGAATGTCGTTGGGCAAAGGCAATAAAATGAGAAACTTAACATTTTTACTTGAGCATTTCACACTTATTTCAGTTCGTCCGGGTTATTTCAGTTAGGCAGAGACGAGCAGCTATTCTGGTGGTGAGGTATTTGGCTAAATGTCAACAAATCTAAGAGAAGTGGCACGAAAGAATTTTAAAACATGGTTTAAAGATAAGTAGCTTTATATAAGTATAACTTTTGACTTTGTTTGTAGCATCGCGTTAAAAGATTGGCGTTAGTAATCTTGTCTCTCAACCAAGATTCGAGTTGAAGATCAGGCGAAGTGGGGAGAAAAGAGTTTTGGGTAATTACATTACTTAAGAAAACAGTAACATCCAACTTGAAAGAATAAATGTACTCCATTTTTAAAGGGTTGGAGTTATTTCTGACTTTTAACTCTTTTCCGGGTTTCTATCATTTGCAGAAAAGTTACAAATTATTCAAATAACATTTTACAACATTTATTGGTCCATAAAACCCAGTTGTTTCGATTTTGTCGCTGCTGCACGGAAACTCTTGAACAAATTTAGAAAAATTATGTGTGCAAAATCATTCGTACATAAATATGTACATTATTATCAACGAGCACCACAGAAGTCTGCAATGTGGTGCTTCATACTTATCATAAAAATAGTTCAAATCACTCGATTTCATCCACCAACAAATTTTTCATAAACAAAATAATGATGAACTTTGAGATGATTTTAACCCTTCATACTGGAAGATGTGTTGTACTCGAGCTAACCTCTCTCTTGTTGAACATCTCTCTCACATCAACAGGGCGCACACACATTATTACAGATTCAACACGTCTATTTTGTGGTTTTTGTGGTAATGTGTCCACGGACGGAATTCATAGTAGGACCACACCACTTTCGTCGTCATCGCTTTCATTTCATTTCCTCTCAACCTCACTCAAATTAAAACAAGAACACGAAACCAAAATGAATACCGAAGTCATAATAAGTGTATAACGACCGATACAGTAATACGGATTCATACACACATGTATGTACATAAAGTTTTGGTTTCCAGCTTCCTAGCTAACAAGACTGCAGCTTTCATGGCATCTCATTACTACTCTCCAAGTCCTGGGTCATTAGCAGCGTTTTGTGGTGTTTAATGCATGTTTTGTTTCACATATCACATCACATGAGAGAATATATTTGCATGTACATATGGGCTCATATAAATACGTACCATACTCGACGGGTAAGTGCATGTCTGTGGTGGTGGGCTCTCGAGAGGACGCCTCGCATGAAATGTATATCAAAACCACAAATTACCAACTAAAGCTAAACTCATATTGTGAAGCTAAACAAAAAACTCATTATTACTTCGTCATCCATCCATTATGAAGAAGACGGAGGAATTGTGTGCTCTCATTGTGATGTGTTTGTTATGCAATCCAGAGAATTTAATCTCATCAAAAATTTTATGAGCCAACAATATTTCCGAAACGAAACCACACACATAAACGTTAATATATGTACGTATGTCGTATATGTACTGGCATGCATTTTGCTGCCGACATTTTAATTGAAGTTCCGACTCGGCTGATAAAGAAATAAACGATGTCGACAGCTAGTGACTACATTAAAAGAACAAATTGGCAAGATGCGGACGGTGATTAAGATATTTCTTGGCATAGCAAGACAAAAACCCACCTATTTTTAAGCAAGATGAAAAAGAGAATCGAGCAGTCTTGCGAGTTTAGAAACGTTGATGCAACGTGATGCTTGTCTAAACTGTTTGCTAACAAAGTGAGGAAGATTTTAAAGAGCAATTATTATTTGCACGGTTGAACTCAAAATATTCTAATAGTTTTCAGTATCATATGGATGTCTGACTATATTATTTCCCTAAAAAAACAGAATATTATTGACAGTTTTGGCGAGACGGGATGTCACATATTTTGGCTTGCTTTTTTTATTATTTGCATGCCAGTAGATCCTCAACAGAAAAAAATATTGCTGCCTGCAGATTTTTTGTGCTCTCATAACCCTGCTGCCCCTCCCAATTGGGCTGCTAAAAGAAGAAATGTAAAACAAGAATTACACTTTTGTACACTGTTTGCAAATTCATGTGTGAAAAAGTAAACTCGTCGCACATATAACGTGGTGCATATACATATCTAAAGACATTTGTGTAGTGAAAGGTTTATTCAAGAAGCTAAAGTCATGAACTCGGAAAAAAATGAAATCATAGCCATAAATACTTTCTCCGAATGTCGCTCAAATAAATATACACATTTTAGTGCTTCATTTTATGATACTGACAGAGTTATACGGAACACATACATACGTATATATTTAGGAGAGACAGATGCATGAGCCACGTATGGCGCATAACTTTAAGACTGTTCACTCTCACTCTCTTTATCCCTGTACTTGTGGGCTTAGTTCAAGCTTAAACTTTTTTGTCACGACAAGTCCAATAAACAAGGAAAAGTTTTCTCCAACTTCCAAATTATTTGTCCTCCTCGCCTCCTGCTCCTACTCCTGCTCCTGCTGCCTGACTCAACCAAACTAGTTCACAAAGCAAACAATAAGCGATGAGGGAAAATAGCACACTTTCCTCCTGCTGTATGTGCATACATGTCAAGGGAATATTTGATCCTATTAAAATTTAATGCGGAAAACTGAACAGTAAATATATAAATAAGTTCACCCTCTAATTCAATTACAAATGTTCCACAATTAAAAGTGAAAGGGGGTTCATCATCACAATGCAGGAAAATGTTTAATATTATGTTGTGTTGATTTATTTGTAATTGGGAGTTTGTAATATTGGTATTAATCTTTCAATTTGTTTGGACTCGGTTGTAAAACGTGATGACTCATTTGTTGAGTAAATATGAAGGATTGGCAAACAAGAGCTGATGAGTACTGGGGCTCATGATAAGCCAGGCATCGCAATTGAACTTCACCAGCTCCTCTTGGGCTTCACAGACGACAATGTACAAGTGACAATTTAAGTGGTCTGATGTTGTTCGTGTGGTGGTGGCCGTGTTTAATAAATGAGTTGTATGTATCATGCCATCGGGTTGTTTGCTCCTCTGCCAATCAATGCAGCTCCACGGACTTTCTCTTGTGGGGAAAAGGCTGTTTTGACAGTGGCAGGATTTTATTCACTCTGCATGCACCTCGCCCTCGTGGTGGGGATAGGAGGACAAGGATGGAACTCGCAGTTGTTGAACACTTTGGGTTATTTACACCAAGAGCAGAGAGTGAATTGGCTTAAGAGGGAGCAGGCAACACTACTTGGCACTTACTTATTTACAAAGCAGGAGTGAATTACATGGCGCAATCCAGGGAGAATCTCCGGGTAATAAAGAGGGTCCGAGGGGAGGCAGTGACTGAGTGAGTCATGGTGTGGCATAGTGTTCATTCAACTCGCATTAATTAATCAACTCGTATTATTATGCTGTACTTACTTGTACCCCGTCTCACAAGTGCCTCGTCCTCTTCTTACTGCTCCTCAGAGTTTCCCCGACTTTAGAAGTATTCCTTCTGCCTCACTGCTTAATTGTCACATCCGGTGCGATCATAGTGTGAGAATGAGCACCGTATATTAGCAGGGCTAGTAATTGAGGCTACAATACACGATATATTGTATAAAATGTTTCTGAGCAAAGCAGAAAGTCACAACAAATCTTTGTAAAAAAATGTGATAAATCAACAAATATTAAGGTTATCTCATAGTAATTTTGATGTCTTTTTTGTATTTACAGTATTACGAGATGTCGTACGGCCTGAACGTTGAAATGCACAAACAGGTACGCATATTTTTATTCAAACAAGATATACATATATTGTTACATTAAGATAAGTACAGTAAGTACATTAAGATAAAATGTTGTCAAGCCATGCATTATTCACACTAATTGGCAAACTACTTCATTCTGCTGTTGGTCTTCGATCCCCTCATGTGATCAGTACTTGTGTGTTTGCAATATTTGGGAAAAGTTTTAATATTCTTATGCGCTGCTGCGAATTTGAGCTGTAATAATTGGCAATCTTGCGCATTCGAAAATGAGGAGAATCCTCAGGACCGACTTTTCCGTTTGGGGTGACAAGATGTGGGTGCGAATTGGCTCAAGAAAGTGGAGGATAATGCAATCAGAATCAGAACATGGCGAGATGAAATCAAGTTGCGATTGGATGAGCATGCGAGAGAGAAAGGCGACGTGATGTGAGGGAGAAAGGCCCTTGAGGCTCAATTATATCATGAGCCATTCTGGAAAGAGATGAAAAAGCGACACTACTACTACCATTTTGGTTGGTCGGCCTGGTATGCACGTCTTCTACTGCATCGCAGTAGATTTCGGGATAATTGAACCCGGAAAGTTTCTTGATGCTGTTACCGACTCGCGGATTCTCGTCTAATTTCATTTCCTTCACAGCGCAAGGGAAAAAATCTACCAACCTCAACCTCAATCTCGTTTGTTTCTTTTTTCCTCTCAACGGAACATCAAAGGGAGGAGAAGAAGAAGCAGGAATTATCTCAAATTGCCAAATGAGGAAAAATATGTCCGCTTACTCGGAATGAGTTTGCTGCTGCTGGCCAGAGCCGGCTGGCTGGTTGTATTTCATGCTGGAATTTTACTTTATTATTTATCTTTCAAAATGAGCGGAGGGGAGGAGTGAAAGTAAAAGCAATAAGCGTTCCATCTTCATCAAATTAAGAAGTGACTTGATGTGGGTGGAAGAGTGTGAGGGAGAAAATTACATCTTGTCTCAGTCCAACAACTTTCCCCGTCCTTGTGAAGCACGAATGGGACCACGACCAACCAACCCAACTCGTGTTTTCAGGTTTTATGTAGAAGAAGTTTAACTGGGAGGATAAGAGGAACAAGTCTGAGGGAAAAGGAAATGTCCTGGTAATGGACCAGCCTGCCTGCAGAGCCGCATCGATTTTTAATTTATACTTTGTTGGACAAGCGATTAACCACTTTGGTTCGCAAGGCTTTAAATTTTCATGGCTAAATCTTACTTACGATGCACTACTGTAATCTTACTGGTCTTGATTCGAAACGAAAGCGGGTACAAGTTTGCTGCGTATTTTAATAAATTTGGGAGGATGTTAACTTTGCATTTCTCTCATTACTGCTAAAATAATCTAGTTATAATAATAGCCAACCAACTGGAACCCAAATTGTGCCCAGTACAATATTGTTATTATGCATGCATAAATGTAAATGGCTTACTTAGTAATCAGACTACCCCACTCGCTCCCCCGTTTAAAATTCTGAACCGACGTTGGGAAGCTTTTCCTCCGTCTCGTATCCTTCCACTTTACTCGTTAATATGCATTATTCCGACAGATTGAAGAGTTTCAATAAAAATTGAAACAAATGACAAAGGGGGGTCGACGTCAGCGAGATCAACAAAAGTTGACGATGCCCGACCTACACATACAAAAGTGAAAAGTGAAAGGGTTACGTTTTTGCTGTAAATGTAAATGTGCGGAAGGGTCGTCCGTCCGTCCGTTCGTGCTGCCCTATTCTCTCATACGAGCATTTATTCACTCGCCAGCCAGGGAGTTGAGAGGGGCACAAGGGAGAGAGGATTGAGCTGCATATTTAATACATGGTTGGCGGATATATGTCCTCGATTTTTCCTCGTGTCAGGCAACCCTTGTTTTTTGTTTTGTTTGCAATCCTGAATTTTTAATGATTTTATCGCCTCTGGATGAGAATTGATTGATCTCCCCTCAGCCGATGGCCTATTGATTGATCGCTGGTTGACTTGACAGTAGTGGAAATGTTGGTATGTTACACCACACCCCATGATTTTTCTGGTTGGATGGAAACCAGAAGTGTCGGAGAAAGGTTGAGAAGACAAAGGGAAAGAAGACGACGACGACGACGAAGGAGAAGAGATTGGATTGACTTGACTGGAGAGAGAGAGAGAGAGAGTATTAAGTGTCACATAAAAAGGCCATTGTGCTCCCTTCCTTCTTTGTCCCCCTCGTGTGCAAGTTTTTTTCCACCACCGCCACCAAGTCACTCACTCATGCTCCTTCACCCAGCCCATCTTTTTTTTTGAGAGGGGACCAATCCAGTCATCCCATAATCAACTAATCGTGTGTCAATGAGAAATCGATAATATACTTTCCCCAATGACACAACAGATTTTGAAGACTTTAGCGCTTATCTTATCTCTTTCGAGGGAAAAGAACCATGAATTTTGTAGAAATGTTTTTATGGAGTGATTTTCAATCTCGTGCATCCAAGTGGTACATACATACATACATTTCTTTCTCCACGACTTTGTTGTAGTGTTGGTAAGTACGTACATGGAGTGAGTAGTAGTGAAAGGGAGGACATGGATAGTTCTGTTTCTGGTGGTGTCGTAGCCATGCTCGTTGTATTATTATTGTACCATTTCTGCCGGTCATGGCGCAGGCAGCAGCGCGGCCGTCATTAAGGAACCACTTCCCCACACTCGCTCGCCAACAGATATTTTATTTTATGGGAGGCACGCTTTAATTTTATTTTATTTTAGCGACCAGCTGACAGGCCCTAATCTCCCGAAGCTATTAAACTCCTCGCACCAAACTCAACTCACATTTACATTCAATTTAATGGCAATTGCCCCATTCGCATTCAATCCGACTAATGTGACTGGGGCTCGAGGGGACACTAAAATAAAATGAGGTGGACCTCACTCACATTCCCGAAATGTACTCGGCAGCAGCACACACGCCACCAGCACCACCAGAACGATGATAACGACGAGTATATACATATTAGCTTCCTTATTGCCGTCCTTGCCTGGCAAATCGAATCAAATGAAATGAATCGATCACCAAATTACGATTATGATGTGATGAGAATTGCTTGTAGCATGTCATTTCGTATTACGAGTAGCCTGATATCTCTCTTATTTCCCAACCAACCAACGTTTTTTTAGGAAAAAAAATCATCATACTTCTCTTTCCTGCCTGTCTGTCATCATTATATTATGCAAATTATTTATATCAAGGCGAGAAGTTTGATGAGGAAGCATTATTATTTCCGAAAATTTACATTTTATCGCAGAATCATTTAAAAGCAATAAAGCTTCAAATTTAAGAAAATCTAATACTGCAAAATGAGCATAATCTTCTCTGGTGGTTGGCTGGATGGAATGAATGGATCTCCAATTGACAAAGGAGGGGAGGGAAAGAGAAAGAATGTATAATCTAATAAAATGTGAAAGACATTCCTCTCTTCATCTTCAAGGACAGGGGGAAATCTTTTCCTCCTTTTTCCGTCTTTTTTTGGGAGGGGGGGGGGATTCATACTAAACTACACGGGATATAGGTATGTATCTATATACACACACGTATATGTGCGAGGCATGGATTACTCCAGCTACTCCAGAGGAGAGAATTGTATGCTAATGCAAAATTTAAATGTGAAATGGAGTCTCTTGTCACATTCACATGAGTTTAGTCTCGGATCTGCATCTTTACTGGATTAGATAAGTGTATTTTTATTCCTACTTTGGGAGGGAGAAAGTACAGACTTAGCTAAAGTGCTTTCCCCTCTCGTTGACTCATTGTGTGTACTTTGGCGGCGGTATTAAGTAGACCCAAACCCCAACGGGTTTCAAATGGTTTCAATTCCAACTTTTTTCTTTCTTGAAGGAGCAGCAAATAAATGTGGAAAAAGTGGAGTGGGAGAAAAAAAGAAAGGAGAAAAGATCAATAATTGATGTTGCACCAGAAGCAAAGTGCAGTCAGAGTCAGTGAGAGCTGAGGGAAGGAAGGGAAGAAGAAGAAGAGGAAGAAGAAGTGAGCCATTAGTTTTAAGGTGAAGTGAGCAAGGGCGATTCATAAATTCTGCTCCACCTGCGAATGCAAATCCGCCTTGCTGAATTTTGCGCGAATAGAAATTGGCCTAGGGTGACACACTAGTTTTTTGATGTGGCTGTGCGAAGGGTGATGTGAACACCCCTTCACCAGATGGATTTAAGATGGCAGTTAAGAGTTACACAGACCGTTAAACCCTCTAAAGGAGGCAGTTAAGCAGTAACCATAAAGGGGAAATGGCGAATCTAGAATCTCCAGAATGTCTTACATAATGGCTTTAGTCAGCAGAGGAGTCGTGGTAGCAGCCAGCAAGCAAATAAGCATACCTACAACAACGGCACTCTTCGGTTTCAGAGATGTCAAGCATGTAAAGCACATATTCGTGTACGTATACGTGTCGTAGAAGAAGGAGAGGGGAAAGTCAGAGTCAGGTATATTCCGCCCGGAACAACTTTCTTCTCCTCCACAGAGCCGTCCTTTCCGTATATTTATAGGAGGAGGAGGCGAAGGAGGAGGAAGGAAATGAGATGAAACTGATCAGATTTAGGGTGGTTGGTGGTATAATGCTTTAATGGAAATGCTAACTGTCTCCCTCGCTCCCTCCACCTCGCATGTCAGGCGGGATCAGCTCAGTCTCTTTGATACTGATTAACACGAGGAGCTCCCCTTCTTTTTCTCGGTAGTGTAATATCAAGAGTGATATGTTCCTCCACCTTCCAGTGATATGCCCGGAGAGATAAAAGTTATAAAAAATAAAGTGAGATCCTTGTAACTCATGTCGATTGCGTCAACCGGATTTATTTCGCTCTTCACATTCACCTTTACGACTCTCGACGCGAGCAGTGGAGAGAGACGGGCTTGGTGAACAGCCCTCACCAACTTTCTCTTTCCTCCTCCATCTTATGGCTGCTGCTTATCTGCACCCTTGAGCTCATTCCAGGAACAATCTTGTCTTGTCGGGACTTGATTCAATTGGGT